GACCATATGACATGGTACTATGAACCAAACTCAAGTTCCCTGGAAGATTAGCAAAGGAAGTTCTCTTACCTACTGAGAAATCTTTCTCATCCCTCTAGTCCTCTAACATTTTATTTTTTGCCTCATTAGAAAGTGATATTAGAGGCTTTGTATGTAAATGCAAAAGTGTTTATTTCTCTTTTCAGTTTTATTCATGTTAATTTTGGTTATTTTTAAAAGTCTGAGTTTAATTACACACAAGGTTTTTTTTTTTTATTTGGTGAATTTGGTGTACTATCATTATTCAGTTTCATAGGTATTGTATGTCAGTTTTCCCACTGGCATTTTCGGTTCCAAAATCGCCATTTTCATAATAAGGAAGCAATCCCATGTAGGTTTCTTTTGTTAATTTGTTTTAGTATGACGCCGAGAATCAAATAAAGGGCTTCTTTTGCTTCAGTTTTGTTTGATTATGGTATAATTTAAAAGGTATTCCATCCTTTTATCTAGATATCACAAAATTTAAGTGAGATAGTATAGGGAATATGTTGCTAGGTCTTGAATCTACCCTATTTTTACAATCAATGAGCTTTTAACATTTGTTTAATGTAATTATTGATCACTTGGTTTAATTTTAAGAATTTATTTTAACTTATGTTTCTGTATCAGTGTGTAGATGTGCCCATGCACCTGAGTGCATGTGCCCTTGGTGTCCAGAGGAAGACAATGGATCTCTTGGAACTGGACATTAGGGAGGTGTGAGCCACCTGATGTAAAATTAATACACAGTCTTAACCACTGACTGATCTTTCAAGCCCTTTGTGTTGTTTCAAAAAAGAGTAATTAATCAAATTAAGTGATGTATGTTTATATGATTGTGTGTGTGTGTGTGTGTGTGTGCTCATACAGGTATTCAGAGGTCACAATAGTGTATAGGGTGTCCTCCCTGATCACTTTCTATCTTTTCTTTTGAAGCAGAAGTCTCTCTCTGAACTTAGCGTTTGCTTTGTTTCATCTAGGCTGAAGAGCAGCTAGCTCCAGAAAAACTTCTGTTTCATTGTTCCTCACAGCTAAGGTACATATGTTTATGGGGAAGCCATAAACAATCAAGCATGTGTCATTGTAGTGTCAACACAGCTCAGTGTTAAACTGGCTCTCAAACCCTGATCTGTGGTTGCATTGTTGTTGCTTTTCTGCTTATCTCCTTTTTGTTATTTTTGTTGGTATTTTCCCCCTTCTTTCTTGTTGTGAGCTAAACTTCATAGTTAAAATCGCTTGACTGTAAATATTAAAATTAACTAAAATAAACAGTACTTTATTATAAAATTTGAATGGATAACCTAGAGATTATAGTATTTGTATGTAATCTGTCTTATTCTCCCAGTAAAAATCATTAAAACCTTAATTTTTAATAAAGAAGCCTAAGTGTCTTATTAGGTTCTTAGATGTCCCTACTATATAAGACTATTGTTTTAAACATTACCACTATATCCATTGAAAATTTCACCAGACCATGTTTTAATTTGATACCATTGATTGTACTATCTAATTAAGATACCATTCACACAATATATATATATATATATATATATTCTTTTAAATATATAATTTAGTATAGTCACAATGTTGCACAAATATCAACTTCACTAGAAAAAAGCCTTCATACTTATTAAAGGGGTTTATTAAATAATTCTGAGACTACTTACTTATCATTCATATGAGCTAAAATATTGTTTTCCATTTTATAGGTTTTCTTTTCAAATTTATTTTATTAACTTATTTCTTGAAAATTGTGCACATGTCTATAACGCATTTTTGTCACACTCACCCCTCCACCCTATCATCACCCTCTTTCACCTACAATATTACTGGATGAATAAAATTGTTTTCTTGGTGTTTATGAAATCTAGTTGATGCAGTTTTCTATTATTGCTTGTACTTTAGTATAAAATTTGAGACTCTATGTAAAACACTTGTCTGTTCTAAATACTCTCAATAGGTTACTCCTAAAATATTCTTGGAAAAGTCAAATTTTTAGGCCACTTTCACAAAGTGCGTATAAAATGCATTGGCTTTCTTATGTAAACTGTTCTAAGTTACATACAATGATAAATTATTGAACTTATTTCAACAGGTACATTGATCTTGGTGCAAAGACCAAATAATTTTTCCTCAGGAAAAGATGTCTTGTGAGCTGGAGAGATGACTCGGTGGTTAAGTACTGCTCTTGTTGAGGTCCTGGATTTGTTTTCTAACTCCCATAACACTTGGTTTACAACTGCATATAACTATAGAGGGATCCTATTTCCTCTGGACTCTGAGGGTGAATGCATAAATGTGGTGAATATCAACATATGCAGACATATATACTTATGTATGAAAATGAATAAATCCAAATATAAAGATTTTTGTGTGAACTTTATGTGAAGACATGTATCATAAACGTGCATCATTCGGTGAAGTAATTAGTAAGTCCACAGTCAAATGCAAAGATGTGATTAGAATTATACATATGCATAAAACGTCTTTGCTAAAATATTTACAACTATTTTGGATAAAAACTCAGCAAAATTACATTAGAAGAGTTTTTCTTTTAAAAAAAACGCAATTTCCCCTTTTTATTATTTTTAATAGTAGATTCTATTTTCATACAATGTATACTGATTATAGTTTCCCCTACCTCCACTCCTCCCAGTTCCTCCCCACTTCCCTTCCCATCTGCATCTACTCTTTTTTTTTTTGTCTCTCATTAGAAAAGAACAGGCTTATTAGAAGAGAAGTGTCATTTTATAACATCTACAGCAAGCTTGACTAAATTTTATATATTAGAAACATCCACATTAAAGTCAAGGTCAAGATGCAAATGTATGGTACCATCTATTGTTTAAACATGAAATACATAACCACAGTAGTAAGACACCAGACTATATAATAAGTAGGAATATCAAGAGAGAAATAATAAATAGTATGAGTCTCTAATTGGAAATATCCAGCAGAATCATTTGACTACTAAATCTAAGAACTTTGCCACACAAAACAAATGAGACAAGTAACATAGGCACAATAACAAATATCTAAAATTTGTGTATAAATAAATACAGCAACAATGTATTGAATCTTTTTGTAAGCAACTATAAAAATAAACTTAGGGAAATGGAGTCAATAAATAAATCAATTGTTCAAAGGAAGATACCTAATGTGGAGATGCCAATTTTAATTTGTTCACACATTTATTATCTGATGAACGAAGAATTGTGTCCTGCCTTTTGTATATTGAAACCTCAAAATTCAATGTGATTTTATTTGGTAATATGGTCTTGTACTGTTCAGTTTTTGTCAACTTAACACAAGTCAGGGTCATCTGGGAAGAGGGACCTACAACTGAGTAATTTCATCCACTATATAGGTTTTAGACAATTCTGTAAGACATTTTCTTCATAAGTACTGTAGATTATGGGAAACATCAGACTCTCTAGACACTCCTTATGGCTTCAGGCAAAATAAAATGTAAGATCTTAGAAAATTCCAGGACAGAGATTACCAGTGACTCAAATAGAAATCATCAAATGTTTGCTTTATTTACTACTAAACAATCATGCTAAGTATTTAATTCATTTATGTGGTTTCAGGTACATTTAAGAACTGAAGGATGAGTTCCAAAATACCAAATTTGAAATAGTTATGGCATTTTGTTATAGCAATCCAAGGAGACTGATATAGTGCTTTTAATTCAGCATCCAATGTGGTGACCAGACTTGGATTGTTGTTTATGAAACTTAATCGTGGAAAAATATGCAGAAGAATAAAAGAACAATATTAGTAATAGATCAATAGTAAAACTAAGAATCCTTCAGAAAGACTAAGGATCGGTTGAATTAGTACTTGTATTTGGACAAGTGGCTATATTCCCTGCAGTAAAGACAGGTCTGTTGTAATTGAAGAAGACAATAGAGTCAGTTGGAGGAGAATTTTGGGAGTTCAATCTAGCCTTTTTCTTGTGTCCTGTTTTACTGAAGGATCTGGGTCAATACCTTAGATTCTTTCAGTAATGTAGAGGTCATACGAAGGCAGTACAAAGGTTTGAATTTGGGCAGTATGATTCTAGAATCTTATAATATCTTTATTTTACTAATAATCATTTCTTGCTGAGAAATAGCCTTTAAAATAGCAGTACATCAGATAGTGACAGATTAGTTACATAATGCATAAAATATTAAGGTATCGAGTATAAGAAATTGAAGTTAAGTAGATTTTCATGAAAAATAATATTCATACATGCATATGTCTTAGGGATATAAAGATACAGTAACATAATTGTAGTCAAAATTGTAATTATTTATTAAATTGTAATTGTTTATTAAATTATAAAAATTAATTGTCCAATTAAAAACTAGACAGAAGATTACAAAATACAACATTAACTGGTGAACAGAACCCAACTCATAGCATCCTTTTTCTCTTAGAACATCAATATCTGGTCATCTTCTTCTGAATCCAGTGTCTGAATCCGCTCCAACGCTCGCGACTCAGAAACATCTCAGAGCCTTCTTGGAATTGATATTTTCAAGGAAACTTTAAAGAAGTAGCCAAGATGAAGATTTCCATCTCCACCTTTCTACCTCCACCCACTTACATGCGGTGAACACCCATGCAATGGTGACAGCTGGCTCAAAAATCAAGACAACCCCCCTGCCCCTGCTTTCATCACTGAGAAATCACGGTAGAGCTGTCAAAATGTCAATGTAAGATAGTACGAGGGCAGGGAACCCTGACTGCTCTTTGGATTGTAGAGGGAGGGGGAGAGGAGTGGGGAGAGGGGGAGAGGAGTAGGGGGAGGGGGAGAAGGGTGGGAGGAGGGGGAGGGAAATGGGAGGCTGGGAGGAGGCAGAAACTTTTTTTTTCCCTTTTCTCAATAAAAATAAAAAAAAAAGATAGTAAGGTTGACTTCCAACTCCAAGGAGTTTTTCTTCTGAGGGGAAAAATGACAGGAAAATCAAAAGCGATGACGTTAAGAACTTTGGCTCCGGGCGCTCTGTCACGTATGCTCTGTTACGTCTCTGAACCCAAAGCTAAAGAGACTCCGGGTATGGCCAGTAGTCCCACCTTGCATTTATTTCCTCCTTCTGCGAAGTGCCAAGGAGCAAGTGAAGACTGTGATCTCAGGTTAGTGATCTCAAGTCAGCAAAGACTTCTGGGGGTTACAAAAATAAAGAATACAATTTTGAGTGAGAAATGAGAGGACTCTCAACATGGCAACAGAGAGTAGACACAGACCTTTGCCCCTGTTGTCGACCGTCAGAGGCCATTTGGCTCTGGCTATTGGGGAGTTGGGCTTCAGGGAGAAAGGGACCTTGTTCTATGGTTAATGGTTACAACTGAAGACTAAATTTGGTTTAGCTTCTCTTGGCAGCTCTGGGAAAACCTGGAATGGGTAGTTATCTAGGGCTCTCTCTCTCTCATTTTCCTATTAATGGTTAGTTTTCCAACTTCCGAAGAGTGACAAATGGGAAGCTCTGATTGCATAATTCTCTTAAATGTGAATTCAGATGTGGCGTGTTAAGTTTAAAGGCAAATTAAGATGATCATTTCCTACTTCATGGAACCTAGACCTGCTAGCACCTGCTTATAGTTCTAGCTTGCCCTGGGGAGGACTACCAGATCTCAGTCAAACTCTTATTCACTCTCTAATTTCCTTTAGTGAGGAGAGAGAGAGAGAGAGAGAGAGAGAGAGAGAGAGAGAGAGAGAGAGAGAGACTAACTGAAACAAGAGCCCTAATAGCATTGCTGTCACAAATGATTGTAGAGGCAAGCTTGGTTTAAAGACCAAAGTGATCTCACCTTTCTTCAGATAGTCATACCATCTCATCCTTCCATCCCTAGGTGCCTTGCTCTTCGGCTGATACTCCGTAACCAGAATCATCATGCCTCGTGGTCATAAAAGTAAACTCCGAGCCCGTGAGAAACGCCATCAGGCTCGATGTGAAACCCGATCTACTCAGGATGCTCAGGTCCCGACAGTAGAAGAGAGAGTTAATCCTTCTTCCTCTTCTACCCTGTATAGTAGTGATGTCCAGAGTTTTTCTGATGCTGAATCACTTGGCAAACCCAAGATGGCTCAGAGGCCCACCACTGCTTCTGTAAGTGCTCCAGGCATCAAGTCGGATGAAGGTGTGAAGAGCCAAGATGAGGTGAGACCAAGTACTTCCTGGGCATGTTCCTCAACTAGTAATCCATCGTCAACCAAGAGAGTTGAAAAAGCAGTTTCATTGATAATGTTCATGCTGCGAAAGCATAAAAAGAAGGAGCCAATAACAAAGGAAGATATACTAGAGCATGTCATCCCACACAACAGGGAAGAGTTCCCTGATGTTCTTAAGAAAGCCTCTGAGCTCATGGTGTTGACCTTTGCTGTTGATGTTAAGGAAACTGACCCAACCAGACACTGCTATGAACTTTTCAGCATATTTAGTCCTACTGGTGAAGAACTTACGAATTGTGAGGAAATCATGCCCAAGAGTGGCCTCTTGATGACAATCCTGTGTCTGATCTTCATGAACGGCAGCTGTATTAATGAGGAATATGTCTGGCAAGCGCTTAGTGTGATGGGAGTATATGCTGGAGTCGATCACTTCATCTATGGAAACGTCAAGAAGCTCATCACCAAAGATTTTGTGGATGATGGGTACCTGGAATATCGGCGGGTACCTTACAAGGGTTCGCACTGTTATCAATTCTTGTGGGGTCCCAGAGCCCTCTTTGAAACAAGCAAAATGAAAGTACTTGAGTTTCTGGCCAAAGTCCATAACACTGTTCCCAGTGCCTTCCCATCCTTGTATGAAGAAGCTTTGAGAGCCAACCAAGAGAGAATGCATGCTAAATTTACATCTATGATGCTTTTTGGTTTCTTAGACGATGCAGAGTCCAATGACAATTCCAACAATTCCTCCAACCAGCACTGAATTCCAAAATTCCTGCTTTTCATCAGTTTGAAAGAGAACATTCAATCAACTAGTGGGGACTGAGGTGGTGTTGGAGAGAAAAGAGTGCATCTCATATTTGTAGCCTTATTTTACATGAGTAACATTCAGTTTTGCTTTTTCAAATTTCCAGACTTTTCTTTCAGTTAAGAGTTTCAGTATTGAAAACAAATTGAAATACATCTTATTCATCTGAAAGAAGAAAACATGGCGCCAGAATAGACAATTTCTTAGAAGAAGCAAAACTTCAATAAAATTGTTTGCAAGAAGAAAATATGGAAAACATGGTAGTAGATGATGCACTCTTGGCTTGTCTGAATCTTGTTATCTGATCTACAAAATAAAATTAAATTAAACTTATGTGCCTGGATGTATTTCATTCATTAAACAATGTAGGAACATGAATTATGATAAAGTTAACTTCTTACTCACTGACACTTTTATTCCCCAAGCAAACATTTACCAAACATCTATTCTTTGTAAACAGGAATGATTTGTGGGGAAGAAGAAGCAGATAGAGAAGCAGGAAGAGGAGAAAACAGTGACAAAATAATGAATGGGGCACTGCTTATAGAAGTTTGGAGTCTGGGAGCAACTATTATATAAGATGGCACTCTATCCTCTAACACATAAATGAGAAGTACAAAGGACAGTGTGGAGGTGTGAGAATTTAAAGTTCTTATAAGAGAATCATATAAAATATCATTTGGGGACTAAGAGAAACTCACACCTTTTCTAAGTGGAAGACAGGGCTCAGTTCAAATGAGTACTGGATTAGAAGAATGTGGGGAAGTGGTGAGCGTGGTCTGGCCCCAAGTGTGGTGTGTCATAGTGGTGAAAAAAAAAAACCACTAATATAAGACTACGATTAGTAGTTTGGAATCATATATCAACCCAAATTATGTGTTATATTATAATTATTATATAGTAACACATTATATATCATGCATATTATATATTATATTAAATATATCTTTTCATGTGTATTTTGTATAATATAGCATGATCATATAAACATACACTGTAATCATTTATTCAATATTATATGTAATAACTAATATTACATATAATATATCATATGTGTTGGGAGCAGTGAACCCCCAGATCCTTAATTTTTGTAAAAAAGTTGTTTTCCCCTCATCTGAGTGCCTACAGCTGCTCTAAGCATGAGGCCCTCAGGAGTTTCTGATGGCAGGGGAATGGTTTCTGGTGTGTTTGGCTGGAGCGTGGCTATTCCTATATAAGCTGCCCCTGAACACAATAAAGGGGGCATTCTTGGGTCATTCTGACTTTAACAATGACTCATCTCTCTCTCTGTCTGTGAGTCTTTGTGTGTTTCAATCTCCAGCCCCTTGCCCGGTTCACAAACTGTATGGTGGCGCATAGAGCGCAGACGGGGTGTGATGCACCGCAATATGTATTATATATATATATATAATATATTAAATATGTGTATAATTGAACATATTGTATTTGAAATAATATGTTATATGTAATGTGATATATATTATAGATTATGTATGTGTACAAATAATGTTATATATATATATACATATATAATTCTTTCTGGTACCTGTAGAGTGGAGAACAGGGTATCAGAATCTCTAGGAGTCACAAGCAGTATGATCATCCCAATGTGGCTGCTGGTAACCAAACCTCAGCAAGAGAAGCAAGTGCTGTTAACAACATAATAACCCTTCTAGGCTGAAGAAGAGTTATATTCAGATTGTCTCTCTGATATTATTGAGAAATGAGATGATCATCTTTTGGTAAATCACTGTACTTTTCTCTGGATTGAAAGAGTCAGAATTCAATATACTAGAAGGACATGGTAAATAAGTCATATGTAGTATAATTTCTTAAATTCTAAAGAGAGTTTTAGCATATAAGCTATATGAGTGAAAACAGAGATTATTTTTTTGATTGAAAGGGAAGGAGGAAGGCCGGTACACACTTGGCTTTGGGCAAATGCTTTAAGCTGCATCCAGGCTTAGAGTCCTCTGAGAGCGGAATTGCCTAGATTAGGTTTACGTGTGTGTGTGTGTGTGTGTGTGTGTGTGTGTGTGTACACGCGAGCGCGCATGTGTGTTGGGGGATTACCTTGATTTTTAATTAGTACTGGAGGACTGAATATCTGGTTGGCAGCACCATTCCCTAGGCAGGTTTTCCTGGCCATTTTGAGGAAGTTAGCTATATATGAGCCTGCTTCTGAGACAAAAGACCGCTTAACTTCATGTTTAAAACATCAAAATCCTAATTGAGTACTGGTCTTTACTTACACCATCAAGAGACTGTAATCCATAGCTGTAATGAACCTCTTTCCTCTCCTAAGTTACTTTTCTTGGGGTATTTTTTTTTTATCATCACAACAAAAAGCAAGCTAGATTGATTCCTTGGTATCCAAACCAATCCTCAAATAGTGGAAGGTTTGCTGGCTTTTAGGAAATTTTCTTGCTTCACAGAGGACATATTACATATAAATATTAATATATATACGATATCTCATTTAGAGTAATTATATATTGATTTCTCAGCACTCTTTATTCAAGGACATCTCAGATTTAAACAGAAAAAAGGTACATCCTATCATAAAGGGCTGTACAATCTGGGGTCAAAAGATCACAGTAATAACTGCTGTGTTTTCACTAGACTGTGGGAGGTGAATTCTAAACAATATGTACAAAAGTCCTGGAAAAGAGCGCTTCTCAGAATCATTTTGATGAAGAACTCAAGACTCATTTTGCTTAATAGTGTGCCCAGTTTAAATACCTACTAGACTTTTTCTTTTAGGCTGCAATGAGCTCCAAAATCATGAAGTGGAGACTTATTAGTTTTGAAGGTTCAGCCTAGCTTAGGTTCATTTCTGGCTAGTTCTTTTAACTTAAATTAACATGTTTCTATTCACAAACCTTTTGTCTCATGGATTTTTATTTTTCTTTCTGCATGTCCTACTCTCTGTCTGCTTGCTGGAGGCTGCCTGGCTTCTGGCTGTGGGCTTTTCCCTCTATTTTTCCTTATTCTCCTCATTTCTTTCTTCATATCTCTAGCCTAGATTTCTCCTTCTACTTATCCTCTCTGCTGTAGCATGAATTCTAGTTTTTCCTAATAATAAAAACCTAGAGTCAGATATTAGGGGCTGAAAGCTGATAGATCAGAGAAGCAATGAGGCCAACAATTAGAGAGTTTTTACCTCTACCAATGCTCAGACCAAAGCAGTGGTCTTGTCTACAAAACCTCAGACTGCATGTTTCAGACTGCATCTCCAGACTGCTGCCTCATTCCACCCAGTCATATCACTCCTGTCTTCACCTCCCTATTTCTGGGATTGAAGGCTTGGGAATCCAAATGCTGGAATCATCTTTGTGTGATCTCCATTTCTCTTATAGACTGGATCAGTTTTGTGTAGCACAGGGTGGGCTTGAACTAACAGAGATTCTTCTGCCTCTATCTCTCGAGTCCTGGGATTAAACGTGTGCGCTTTGGTGATAATTCATTTGTATTTTAATAAATAATGCTTGGTTGAAGATTGGAGAGAAAAACAGTAGCCCTGGTCAGCTTTACAGACTAAGCAGTGGGGCACACACATTTAATCCCAGTAACCATATAAATATGCCATAGAAAACTGGCAGTAGTGGTGCATATCTTTAATCCCAGAAGAGAGGAATGCAAGACAGGAGGAGAGAGCTCTCAGAGTCTCATTCTGAGTATTCCTGGGGACAGGACTGCCATTTCAGACTAAGGTAGAGGTAAGAGTCAGTGGCTGGGTGTTTCGCTTTTCTGACCTTCAGGTTGAACCCCAATCTCTCTCTCTTGGTTTTTATTAATCACACTACATTCGGTACCCAACATGGGGACAAATTATTTGGAACTGAATGCCAGCGAGACCAGGTGGGACAGAAATTTCTGTCTGCAGTATGGCACCACTGCCTGGCCTCTCGTGGCTTAGTTCTGCACTCTGACCTTCAAGCAAACTTTATTTGTTAAATCACATGAAATATATCACTACACACTGCTTGCCACCCTCAGCTATTCCTCTTCTGCCTACCTAATGGCAATTCTATTTTTTATTAGATCAATCAGGTGACTTAGATGAGCAAGGTGAGTCAGCAACACATCTTTTCAAAATAAAACAAATGCAGCATAAACAAACGTAACACATATTTACATTTTTAAACAAATGCAGCAGAAACAAATATCTTTACATAGTTAAAATAACATTCCAGAACATTTCCTTCTTCTAGTCTAAATAAAACAGAAGGGTTTTAACTTTAACATTAGTAAAGCTTCATACAACAAGAATAATTATTAAGTAAGGATTACATTTATAATATTCAGATCTTTTGCTTTTGGCAAATTTGGAGGATCATTAGGAAAACTGTCACTATCTAGTATTCAATTTTATCAAAGACCATACAAGAATGTAATATCACCCAAGTAAAGAGTAAATATAGTGCAATCCATTACCAAACCTATAGAAATGACAAGTGTCTGGCTGCCTAGATAGTCACCCAAGGTTCCTCTGCAATATTGTGACATCCATCTTTGACCTAGAGGCATAGAATATCTGGCGACTGTTCTATGAAGAAGGAATTTTGAAGAGTTCTCCTGCTTTGTTTTGGCAAAGTTCAGCAGTCACTTTCCCTTGTATCCTGCAAAATGCCTGGATGACTTTCCTATGAAGTAGTAAGTTTGAAGAACTGTACTGTCTTCTTTTCACAAGCTCAGCAGTTCTTTTCATTTGTGTCCTGCTTCTCCAGTTTGCTCAGCATATTTTCAGCAATCAAAGCATGGGAAATTTCTTGCCCAAATGGCTAGTTACCTTTGCCATAAGAAAGGGAAACTTGATATATAGGTTTTTTTAATTAATTGATTGATTGATTGATTTTTAAAGCAATCTTGTCATTTTGTATGTCAATCCCAGTTCCCATTCCCTTTCCTCCACTCACTCCCCCTACTTTACACCCACCCCACCCCCATTCGCTGCTCAAAGAAGGTCAGGCTACCCATTGGCAGTCAACAAAGTCTGACAAATAGCTTTGAGGCAGAACCAAGGCCCTCTGTCCTATATCCGGGTTGATCAAAGCATCCCTACAAAGAGAATGGGCCACATAATCTATTTTAAGCATTAGGGATAAATTCTGTTCCCACTGCCAGTGGCCATACACACTACCTAAGCCACACGACTGTCACCCACACACAGAGGGCATATTTGGTCTTATGCAGATTTCCCTGAAGTCAATTGTAAGTAAGTGAGCTCCCACTAGCTCAGGTAAGCTGTTTCTATGTGTATCCTCATCATGGTCTTGACCTCTTTGCTCATATTATTGG